GTGTTATTAATATTTTCAACCTTCAGTATTCTAGTGAAGTATATTGTGTAGTTTATTCAGGCAGTCTGATTATCCATTAAAGATACTATGATTTTCTTCATGGTACATTAGTTTTTAGTAGGGTTTTTTTGTTGGCTGTTTTTATTTTCTGTTTGGTTTTTCTTTCCAATTCAAGCAAACTTATTAAAATGCCCCAGAAAATTACTTATTCTAGAAAAGATAAGAAAAACATATAAGATTATATAACATTTTAAATTATAAGGAAATAATCTTGGTACTTTTTTATTTCTTTCTTGGGATGATGAATACATTTGGGAAATAAAAGCAAGAAGAATATATAGTCTCTTTTTCTCACTTTGCCTTCCTCTTTTTTCTGTTGAAAGAGTTTGTGAGTTTGTGTCCTCCCCTCTAAATAGCTGCACAGGTATCCCATTAAATCTCTTGGTTCATCTGTGGATTTCAGTGTGAAAGACTTTCTGTTTGGATTTGGGTAGTGTCCCTTGATGCAGGAGTGAGACATGTATCTTTATGTACATCTACATATGCCATACACAATAGAAAACATAATGCACCTTAAGGCAGCTGATGCCTGGCCTGGAGGAGTCTTTGTACAGCTATTCAAACAACAGTGCAATAACATCCTTTGGTAGCAGCTCCTGGAAAAAAGTCTGTCCAAAAATCTCTCCCTGTGTGGTGAGCATTGAGGTGCTTCAGTGAAACAGTGAGACTGTATAGAGGTTTGGTGTACTGCAAAGGTCTCCAAACTGCTGGTTTTTCTGAGCCCTTTTCATTGACTGAATGAATTGTTAATGATGCTGAAAGAGCAAGACAGTGGACTTAGAAGACATATCTGAATGTAACTGAAGATGCTGTTTCTACTTAAAAGACTCAGAGCTTCATACACAAAACCCTCAGAGCCCATTCAAACTCTTCAAAATATTGTGTATATTACATTTTTTCTTTTTCCTATTAGGAGAAGAAAGGAAATACCAGTAAGCTCTGTGCCATGTTAGTGTTTTAGGATTATGGAGATGCAAGCAGACCAGAGCAATTTCTGATTTATGCTGTTTTGTGTTGATCCTTTACTGCTCATTTCCCAGCTGCCACAGTTCAAAAGCTGGCTAAGCCAGGGCTGGAAATGGACATGTCAGAAGATGTGCTCTGTGCTTCTGGAAGATGTTTTAGTCAGAGCAGCTCAGCACTGACAGGTCCAGCCACTTGACACCACTCCAATGTCAGGAAGGAGACAAGACAGCAAACCACACAAATCCAGAATTGAGACATCTGCATTTTGGCTCCATCCTATTCTTTTTGCTGGCTGACAAAAGCTCTGTGATTTCTTATTCCAGCTATAGGCATTCAGGGATGAGTGTCTGGAAGCTTGTACCAAATGGATTGGCAGCCCCTTATTGTAAGGAAGATACACAAAACTGAATTGTTTATTCCTTCTTGCTTGTCCTGTTGGCAGGGCACAGAGGAAAGCTAGTCATGGTCCTGCTGCTGCCTTTCTGCTTGGTGGAGAGCAGAACTTAAGAATTTATCCCTTTGTGGAGAAAAAAATACTGCCTAAAGGACTGGCCTCTAAACTATTGAAGTTATGTAATCAACTAGCTGGTCTTGATATCTTGGATGTAGAGCTTAGGGAGGTGTTATGTTGCTCCTTTGGGATCACTGAATTAACAGTGAAGATACATTTCTGACACCTCTCCTATGAGGAAAGGCTGAGACACTTGGGATTGTTCAGCCTGGAGGACAGAAGGCCCCAGGCAACCTTCTATTGGCCTTCCAGTACCTAAAGGGGCCTGTAAGAAAGCTGGAGAGGGACTTCTTACAAGGGCAGGGACTGATAGGACAAGGGATTTAATCTTTAAATTGAAAGAGGGTCAATTCATATTAGAAATTAAGAATAATTTTTTTTATAGTGAAGGTGGTCACACACTGGAACAGGTTGCCCAGAGAAACTGTGGATTCCCCATCCCTGGAAGTGTTCAAGGCTGGGTTGGATGGGGCTTTGAGCAACCTGGACTAGCAGAAGGTGTCTGTGCCTACAGCAGGCTGGGTGGAAGGAGATGATCTTTAAGGTCTCTTCCAACCCAAACCATTCTATGAGTCTCATTTATTTTAAAATATGAATACTAAAAAACCAAAAAAACAACCCAACCATATAATTTCTTTTATAAGCATTTTCCAAGCAAAAATGTCTATGCACATAGCTGTTGTTATTTTTGCTAAGCCACATAATTTAATATTTCATTCTTAGTTAATATGCTGGAAAAATATTTATTTGGAGACATGAGCTATGCTGACTAATGGGATCAAACTAATTCAGACCAAAGCTGAATAAATAAGTAAATTTTAAATTGTTTGGGTTTTTACTTGCATTGAGATTTTTGTTCGTTTGTTTGAGTACATTTTTTTTAGAATGGTAGAGTATCATGTGTGAAATTAAGAGCAGATAGAAATTAGGGTAAGGCAGAAGTGAATCTGACCTGAGCTGACCCATCTGTCCAGCACTAGTCTGTCTACCTCGCAGCATGAAAAACATTGCAGTGGGTCACATCCTTACTGTTTGAGGACTCCTTTGTAGCCAATTAAATGAGAGATCTTTGTCAATGTCAGGACTTTGAATCCCTGGTGTTTCATCAGTAAGTGTGTTAACACCTACTCAAAAGCCAGTCAAGTGTAAAACTGTATAAAAAAGAAAGTCTACTTCATGAAGGATTTTGGTTGTTTGTTTTGACTGAAATTGAAATGAAAGAATAGCAAGATTTGTATCTGCTAAGATGTCAGCCGGATCTTTTGGCTGTTACCTGCTGCAGAAAAAATCAAAGGTGACCTTTCCTGAGCAATCTGTCCAGATCTGCAGATCCTGGAGGGGCTCAGAGCTACCAGCCTGGCACAGCCCTTGGAGGTGATGGTTTTTTCCTTGGTAGCCCAAGGCACTCTCCTAGAGGTTTTAAGGTCAGAGGCAAAACTGGCCTCCTCAGCAGCAACAGGATGAACCATTAAGGAACCATCTCCAGAAGCAGCCTGGGACTGGATGGTGGCCCAGGGCACTCCTGGCTCCCCAGCAAATCTGCCACCAAGCATTTAAATTCCAACCAATCAGCAGATTAGAATGAGAAGTGGCTTTTATTAAAGTATTTTGAGTTAATCCTAGCAACAAGCTCTTGGTCTGGAAGTCATAAACGTTGGGGTTTCTTCTTTCCTGACTAAAATGAAAGCTTCTTATTTTTCCCTTGAAAAAGTTAAGGAAAATTCCTGCTTTAAAATGAGATGTGTCTAAAGTGTGTGTGCAGACTGTGGGGACATCTGCTGGGATGCTGGGAAATGGCAGGATGCAAAATGCATACCGTGGTGGAATGATTCAAGCATGAACATGCCAAAAATGATTAATACTGCAGCATTCCCTCAGGGCTGACAATTCCACATTTTATCCACAAAGGAAATCAAGTGCCCCTATCTCAGTACTCCTGTGCTGATCACTCTAGGAGAACACTTAAGACCTGCATAAGCCCATTCAGACATCAAAATGTGTAGAGAAAAGAGAGATCTCTGGAAATGCCCTGTAATCCTGGGTGAGCCAAAAAGAGCTGGCACGCTGTGGGGCAGAGCAGCTCAGTCAGCCCTGACCACATGACAGCTCCCTGTGGCCTCCCTGGGATGGAAGCACTTTTCCCTGCAGATGGAAATGAGAAAGAGCCTCTCCTTCTGCCCAGCAGCTCTGGCAGTGCTGAGCCAGGACCAGCAGAGGAGCTTTGGGGATGGGTCTGGCACGGCCACGTGCTGCCACACTGCAGAATTGTGGTCTGAAATGAAGCATCAGCTTTCTCAGTTTTGTTAGAAAAGCTAACTGGGGCTTATGTCTGATGGTGTATGCAGGCCTAAACTGAGCCAAAATTTTCAGATTTATAAAGTTTGGTGGAATCATGGAATGAATTCTGCTCCAATACTTCCATGTAACCTTAATAATGTTGCTAAGATTAAGGAAACTTTGATTTTACCAGTAGTAAAAGGTGTGGCTGGGGAGATGATACATATCTGGTCTGGCTATTTGGTCAAAATTATATTCAGCATTCAATTTTCCTCATGTACTTCCGTGTTTAATCTGCATCTTTCTGTCTGAAATTGAAAGATGTTTGAAGGGCTGGAACCATCTTCTAGACTTGTGTTTGAAAAGTGCCTTTGCAGTGATATTTTCTGCAGGACTGAGACTAAAACAAGGGGCGGCAGTGTGCTCATTTCAGACTTTTCTGCTGACATTTTCAGATGTCTGTGTACAGACAAAGCTCTGCATATTTAGACAACTAACAGCATTTTCACAAACTCGTGCCCATTCTCAGCCTGCACTCCACATTACACTGATTCAAACCCACTTTGCAGCCCAAGTCAATGTCAGTGATATTCTAAACCCCTTTCTCCTGAATCTGTCATATTCTGTTTGGAAACCTTGTTGGTCGTTGGTGGGTGGAAGTTTCCAGTAGAGATCAGGGCAAAAGCTTTTTCACAGCTGAGTCAATTTTGCTAATGCAGAAACGGTGCACCAGACATCTGGTTGGAATTATGTTTATCTTCCATCCTTAATAATTAATGACTTAAATATGAAAAATGTGAAGAAAAATGTATGCTCCACTATAGTATAAATACTCACACCATATAGCCTCCATACTTTCAGGCAAGAGCAAAGTTGAAAAAGCTAAGAGAAACTATTTTTATTTTGTTAAGTTACAAATCTCGTGTAATTGCTCAATTAGATGTTAATACTGTGGTATTCTACAGCTATTTTTGATTTAAAGTACAATTACTGAATTTATTGACTGCTTAGACAAATAGATTAGTCCTAAATTATTGTAAGCATATTAGCTGTACACATTGTAACTTCATTTGATATGATAGATACAAAAATAGAAATGAAAATAGAATGTGTTAAACCAGATATATAAACAAGATATTAGGTTCCATTAAACTTAAATTTATTTTTCTTGTTGTTCTCTATGCAGGGCCGTGCCTCATTAACACATGAGAAACAGCGTTTTGCCCACGAACATCGTGAAATGAAAAATCTAGAAGATATTGTTAAAGATATAAAACCGTCCGTGCTAATAGGTAATTTCTTTGACTTTAAGGCAATGACCTTATTCTTTGTTGAAAAAAAAAAGGGGGATGTGGCTTTGTCTGAAGAGAAGATCAAGTTCCTCTGAACAGTTTACCTTTGTGTGTTTTCAGAAAACACTGGGTGCATAATGGACTCTATTAAGCAACTGAACAAATAGTAACTATCCAAGCATGTAACACTGCTTTCATTCTGAGCCATCCATTTTACAGGGGAATCTGACTGGGTTTAAACATCTGATGGAGGACCTTACCACCTTCCTAAATTATTTCTTGTGTAATGTGGAAGGTGTAATACAAATAACGTCCAACTTAGAGTGAGAAAACTGAACTAAGCTTATGTAAGGCTATGCAAATACAAGGGTGCTGTATCTGAGTCTTCTTTTTGCTCACATTTAGGTCCTTAGCTAAAGTCCTCTTAGTCCTCTCTGCAGACCAAAATGTAAATTTTACAAGACCTTTTCTTTTGTAAAAGCTGAAGGACTGTGATCTCAATAATGAATTGTTCAGCTCTCTATAGTTTGGTTATTGTGTTTCAGTGACAGTTTCAGGAGTGAACTGCAAGTACTCTTGGTTTTTTTTTAAATATGTAAGACTTGAAGATTAATCTATCTGGCTAATAAACTCATTCATCAGGTGCTAAAAAACTGAAATGCCACAGTGATAACTGTCCTACATTTTAACAGCTACCTTTTTGACTATGCCTACACCACATGGTCCTTGTTCAGTAAAATCCGCTTTTACCGGTGGTCATCAGTGAGGTAAATGAATTCTCTTCCTGTGCTACATGAAGATATGAATGAAAGAGGAGACCAAGTGGTGCAGAGAATTTACTTAGTATACTACAAGGCTGAAGATGCTAGAGGGACAGAAGAGTAGAATGAATGAATATTTCTGCAGATAAAGGTGTTTGGATGCTTAGGGAAAATCTGCCATGAAATATGGGTTTTACTGTGTGTAATTTTTATGTATAAAGCCATGTGACTCTCCCTCAAGGTCACTTTCTCTTATCAGTTCTGTATAATGAAGTCTCTTCCATCAGAAACAGCAATAGAAACTAATATTGGGGATTTTTGGTTTGAGTGACTAGACATTCAGTATGTTCCCTGGAGTACCAGGAGTCATGGGGAAATACATTGATAGCCCTTCTCCCATCGTTTACTTAGCTCTGTCTGAGCAAATCCTTATAGACATTTCATTGCCTGCAATGGCTCAAGGAAAAGCCTTAATTTAGATAGACCCAGTCTAAGAAACGGCAATTAAAAAAATAGCCATAAGCATTTTGTTTTACCTTAAATCTGAAGATAGTTGTCATTCGTGCAGCTGGCTGTCCAGAAGCAGTTTTAGCAGACATTAAACACTTGGCAGCTGAAGATTTAACCAGAAACTGAGGTGTATAACAGGCTCTTATACAACTGTTCATCAAACACAGAGTGGCTCAGCTGGTCTGTCAGAGCTTTTGCATCTGAGCATCCCTGTCCATTCACAGAAGGTCAAGTAGAGAGAGCTCAGAGTTGCAAAAAATGATAGTATGTAACAGATGATACCATGCTCCATGTAGAATCAGTCAGAAAATACTCTGAGATGCCTTAAAGAAATGTTTGTCCTGAAGCACAATCTTAGAGCCAGCTCTGGGCAGTGAGGGCCCCTTTCATCTCCCCCCAAGGACCTGATATTCTCCTCAGGCAAATCCCAAGCTGTCCTTTCAGACTGGGCACTGTCAAGATGCTCATTGGAGCATCAGTGATGAGATGCTGCAGTACTGACCTGAGAAAGGCTGAAGTTCCAAGCTTTCCTCTCCCAGCCTGGGTTTTAATCCATTTCCACTCCCCAGGAGAGGGAAAACAAGCTGTTTTCCCTGATTTTGAAACTCAGATTCTGTGTGGAATGCAGAATGGGGGGTCAGACACTGGGGTCTGTGAGGACAAAGGAGGCTACCTTCTCTCCAAGCCAGGTGGGAGAAGCCTCCAGTAAAATAAAGTCATTTTACTCCAAGATCTGTGTATCTGTTTATTTTCACTGAAGGTGTGGATATCCTTGAATTCCCAGCTCTTGTAGATTATTCAGAAATATGGGAGTCCTTGGCATCTCAAAAACATCACACACCCCCTCTTTGTTTGCGTATTGTCTGAGGTCCAAGATCTAAGTTCTGGCTGCAAGTCTGCAATGCAGCAGAATGCAACCTAAGTTAGATGATTTCATCCTGCCAGAGCGGCATTCAGTTCCTATGAATAGCATTTATAAGTGTGGACAGTACAGGGAATAGAAAAGCATCTACAGTGCAATGAAAAGGGATGTATTAAAGAAATTGTTGCTGTCAGGGAACACCTAGACTCAAAATTATTATTTGTCAGCTCAGCTCAGATGTAGAAGGCAGAGGCTTTACTCATCATGTCAGAAAAATCTGAAATCTGACACACTGGGTTTGGGAGAAACTCTCCAGTCTGTTTAGGGCCCAGAGCTGCATCTGTCTAGTCCATACTGGACCTAGCTGCAGGTTAGGTGATAACATTTTTATTTTACACAAAGGACCTGAGAAAAGGGAAAAAAAGGGAAAGGAGAAATTCACCAGATCATGCAGGGGAAAATAGGTTGTGGCTTATGCTAGGGACAATGCTGAAGTTTCACTATTGCAAAGTCTTTTATACAAAACTTTATTCCAACTACATGTTAGGAAAAAGGCTGAACTCCATTTTAAAGAGGGAGAAAGAGAGAAAGGAGCTTTGTTCTTTTACAAGTGACATGCTTGTCTTACCTTGAACTAATTTAATTTGTCTACTTGTTATATGTGTATTTTTCTTCTTTAGGAGTTGCTGCAATTGGTGGTGCTTTTACTCCACAAATTCTTAAGGATATGGCTGCTCTAAACAAACATCCTATAATTTTTGCTCTCAGCAATCCCACCAGCAAAGCAGAATGTACTGCTGAGCAGTGCTACAAATACACAGAGGTAAGCAAAGATTAACATCTTTCCAGTATAAGTAATGAAAAGTCTGAAATTAAATTTTAAAAGGGAGGAGGACAGAGGGTGGAGCAGCAGGTACTAATCATGTCTCTGTACATAGATAAAATGAGTTAAATAATTTAAAAGATTTTTCAGATTTTATCAAGACAATTTCATTGAGTTCACTGCATGCTTGCACTCTTATAAAACATTTCATAGCTTTTATTGGTGTAGGCAACACTCATAATCTTTTATAACCAAAGCATCAGTCACCATCAATCACTAAAGCATTATGAACTGTACCATTTTGTGTAATATATACACACAGTGGCATGCTTTTGATTTGAGATTTCATAAACACTCTTTTGGGTAAGAAAATATTTCAGTACATGAAACAGAATCTTTAAAATCATTCTGTATTAAGAACTGGGGTAATTGATTCTTCTTACAAAGTTTTCTGTTACATAAATGTAGGTAAAAATTAAGAGGACTGTGTTTGCTTATTTACCATAGAAGTACTGATAAACACATTATCCTGTAATTCAGCCTAGAATTTAAAATGTATATGTGTTTCATAGTGGGTGTATTTAGATTTCTTTTCAGATACAGGGCATTTTGAATGACAGTTTCTCAGTGTTTAAAGGACAAATTTAGCATGTCCATTCTCCACAGCACGGATGTAATTACAGCACAGTGCAGGAGCCAGGGAAGCAATCTACATGAAGGGTTGGTTGTAGTGGGTAACCACAAGTGCAAAAGACACTCTGAAGTATTTGATTTGTCACCAAAACATACAATAAGCAGGCCAAGATTATAGAGCATGACACCAAACAAAACAGAATATTCTTCTGAAGAGCTGAATAGCAACCGTGGCCTATTTTAAAATGCACTATAGTGCATTTCAGTTTCCAATTCTCTAAAACAGACAGAGATATTTCTGATACAAAGTGCCTCTGAAGTATTTAACAGTGATATTTATCACTTTAGCAGTGTTAGCATAAATAAAGGCTGGCTTTTCTTCTCCACCTAAATTCAGTGCTTAAAATTGAGGGTGCTCCCTGCCCAGAGAGCAGGAGCCAGGGGCCTTTGGGCTGCAGGCACCAGCCCTGTGCAGTGCCACTCCCACATGAACTGCGCCCTAAACTGAGTTAGAGCAGATCTCATGTTCTCAGGACAAGTGTTATGGTGTAACCTGTCCCCATACAGCTGAATTCCCTTAATTCCCTCAAGCAGGCTGGCTCTTCCCTACTGCCTGCCTGCACCAGTCTGGGCATGATACCTGGGCTCTGCCAGCCACAGTCCTGCCTGGCATTACCCAGAAACCTGCAGGGGAACATGCTAAATCTTTATCAGTAGCAGGGGCCTGAGTTGGTGCCTCCACCCTGCTCAGTATGTTACAAAGAGGGGAGCCCCAAGGTCCTGGCAGAGGAGGTTCCACACTGACTCGTGCTCTTGCTCTGTGGGATGATGTTCCTGGGACAGCCTGCACCTTGGTCATTCTGTTGAGCTGTGGAGCGGGCTCAAGGGCCTGAAGTGAGGGATTGGGAAGAAAAGAGAGTTCTGCCTGCCCACAGCTCCTCAGAAATCACCCCATCCAAAAGCACAACATTTAGTTGCCTTAGTGTCACTTTTTTGGATGCTTTGCTATTGGGGAAAAAGTCCAGTAGCATCACCTGTTGCTACCATAGCAGTATTGCCCACTTAGGGTTTTACAACTCTGTACTCCCCATGGAGCTTCTTCTGGCATGGATGCACAAAGTGAATAATGACTGCTGGCTTCAGTTTGCCTCCTTCTAAATGGTACAGATCGGGTTAGAGAGCCACAGAGAATCACCAGTGGTCTCCAGGATCTGTGTCCTGATGTTCTTGAGACATATTCAGGCAAACAGCTCTAACACCCTCTCAGAATAGATGCTAAATAGATTCAGCCCAGCTTTCACATTATTTAAATGGATATTTATTGATGGAAATTTAAAAGGGTGTGAGAAATATTTCAACAGCAATCTCTCAATTAATGTGCTTTCTTTTTCTTCTTACAATTTAGGGACGTGGGATTTTTGCTAGTGGAAGTCCTTTTGATCCTGTCACTCTTCCAAGTGGAAAAACTCTTTATCCTGGACAGGGTAACAATTCCTATGTGTTTCCAGGAGTTGCCCTTGGTGTTATTTCATGTGGAATGAGACATATTGATGAGAATGTATTCCTCACGACTGCTGAGGTACTGTATTCAAAATTATTTAAATTCAATAATTTAGTGACTTAGTATTAATGAGTAATTAAACAGAAAGAGCTAAACTTTAAAATGGGGAAAACACTGCTTTTTGTGTAAGGTCTTTATTTTATAAATTGTATTTGGACAAGTCATTTTAAAAAGTTAACACTTGGCCTAGGAACACCTGACATAAACTATACCTTCTGTTGGGAAGGAAAAAAAAAGAAAGATTTCAGTACAGTGTTACTGCAGGTAAATGCACATGTGTACAGTTTGCATGCACAGGCACATAGGTTTAATTGTAGATTGAAAGGAATTATTATTATTGTGATGTTGGTAGCTTTGGGGTGACTCGTGTGAGTCTTTTGCTTACAAAATTTCTTGAATTTGAATTATGAAACAGTTAAAAAGGAAAGGGAAAAAAGCTGCACCAATTAGCAGATATGTGAATGCCTTACTCAGCTCCTGCAGCTTCTCTAAGGAATATTTCATTCCAGATTCTTGCTCCTTCTGTGCTCTTCATGGTTTAAAAGGAAGAAAGTGGTCCTTGGCTCTCACTCAAGGGCAGCTGTTAGGCAGTGTGATCCTATGGCAGTATGTCATTCAGAGCTTTCTTAAGGGGTGGGCACTTGCATGCTGTCCTTGTTGGACTTTCAGAGGTTTTTTAAGGTGCATGCTGTGGCATCTTCAAAGGGGTTTGCTAACAGCCTGCCCTCTGTAAGAAAGACATTCACAATTTCCATCTTTAAAATTAGTAGAAAGCCCAGCCTGTCTCCACTGACTTTAACCATCATAAAAGGGCAATGATCCATCTCCTAAGCCTTTGGATAATTATGTCTTTCCTTTAAGTCCTCCCCTGTAATTTCAATTGGATATGGTGATCCTCACTTCCTGGTCTAAACTGCTGCGTTAAGAGTTATCCGACTTCATTGTAGAGGTTGCTTCATTTTGGTTTGTGTGAAATGGTTCCTGTATGGTGAGAGCTGATGACAAAAGGTGGCACATGTGTGGATTGAACTGTGTTTCCTGTGACAGTCTATGAAGTCAGAAAAAAACCAGTTCTGAACAAAGAAATGTAACAGTCAGGGAAGTTAAATAGTAGCAGAAATTGTGAGGAAGCTTTTAAATTCTCACTTGAGGTGGTCATTCTTTCCTGACTCTGGTGCAGGTTCTGCTATACAGTTCCCTTCCTCTAGTAAAATCTCTAGAAAAGTTTGACATATAAAAATGTGGGTTTTGTCTTGCATAGAAAGTTCTGTTGGTGGCAGGATTCCTGGGTAGCTGCTCCCTTGCTGCTCCCAGCTCAGGGCTTTCACATCTGGTCTCCCCCTCCATGTGAGGGGCTGGGGGGCCTGGCTGAGCTGAGCTGAGCTGAGCTGATGGGTGCCACAGGGGTCTGCCAGAAGAGGTGTCAGGGCTGTGAAGGCCCTTAGCTGAATAATCACACTGCAAAGCAAAAGGAAAAGTGCTCTTTTTGGTTTATGTTCTTGGCTTTTATACTGGAAGGATAAAATCAGAATAGTTTCATGGGGGTTTTAGAATGTGCTTGGTATTCCTCATTTGAAATTGAAGCATCCCAGATGCTGCAAAATTTAGAGAACCAAATCCATGCATTTTGGGTAGAGGGACCTTCTTAGATTGCCAAGGTAGCTTATCTGAAAAAAAGAAATGATAAAAAGGAAGCAGCCCAAGCTGCATGCCTGCACCTCCTGCTTCTTGCTTTGCCATATCTCCAATTAAATCTGATTGAAGTCACAAATAAGTATCTGTTGTAATTAGAACATATTTTGATGTCAATGTTCTTTTCTTCCTGCCAAGTAAAATAAAGTGTAACTTTGACTTTGGATCATAAATCTAAGGTACTGTAAGCTGTAATAACCTCTTAATTGTGGGCAGTTGTTCTGTGATATCAGGCAAGGGATGTTGCCTATTCTTTTAAATCTTACCAAACACAACAAAAGAGGCAGAGAATTATGAACTAATGAAATAGTCTTGCATGTGTGACCTGCAGTCTAGTTCAGAAATAATCCTACAAAATCTTTTCATTATGGAGAATATGTCCTCCAAAAGCCAAGATGCCCTCACTTGCTTTATGCCATTTTGTCTTGGTTGCCTTTACTTTAGATTCTGCAATGAGGCTTTGCTATTTTTTTCTATTAAAAAATTGAATTAATTAATATTTAAAACATGAAAATAGCCATGCTGGGTGGCACCTGGGATCCAAACTGCTTCATATCTTCCTGTGAAAGCAATCACTAGCAGAAGCTGAGGAAAAGAGGATAAATGAGAGAAATACAGAGTGATCCTTCTGCTGAAATGGCTTCTCAGATTCTGGCAACATTTACTGAATGGCCTTCCCGTGCTGGATGTTTTATCCCTGTATGGATTTTTTCTTCATAAATGAGCCTAGTGGCTTTTTAAACATATTTATACATTTTAACATCTTTTGTCAATTAGTGTCACACTTTATTTATGAGTTCTGTGGAAAAAGAAACTCAGGATTTTCTGCTCTTTGATGATTTGGTTTCTCTACAGCACCATAAGAAATATTCTCCTTCAGTTGTCTTTTGCATTTCCTTTCAGACTTCTCTTTTTCTCCCAAGTCTATTTTTTTTTTTGTTTCCTTGATAAAAAAAAATTATCATCTTTTTATTTTCTATACCCCTCATGATTCTACTCCATTCTTGTTTGAAGTACATGGAGAAAAACCACACCCTGCTCAAAGTGATGTTACATTCTGGATTTATACATTGGCACAATTATGTTTTCTGTGGCACCTCTTATTTTCTCAGTAATCCCACATGTAGATTCATCTATTTTTCCCCTACCACTGATCTGATGTTCTCAAGGAGTGTTTTTCAAGCAGCACATGAAGAGGCTGTTGTTCTCTTTGGAAATGCTTGGGTTTGTGTTTTTGCATAGTTTTTGGTGCTGTTACAGGAGTGTGTCTGAAGGAACAGCATGGCATCTGTACAGTTGACCTTGCTACCTCTCCCACTTTGAGCACTGCCCAAATATTTTGTGGCTTGCCTTCTATCAAAAACAGAATCACAAAAGAGAAGTACTCCACTCCTGAACCTTTAATTTTCAGTGATGCATTGCAGTAAGAGCAACTTGCTGTTGATTTCTTCAGCTTTCATCTTTGCTGCAGAGCCCTCTTATGCTGTTAACATCAGAGACCTCATGTTGTGAGTGCCTCCTTACATTCAGATGCGCATCAAAGGGCTCTGTATCATTTTGAAATAACCTGATTGCTGTTATGAACAGCAGTAACTTGATTTTACATTCTCTTAGCTCCCCCTAGAGGGGTTTTCTCTGCTGTATTTCTCAAGATCAGGTTTAAATGTAAACAAATACTTTTTCTTCCCTTGTTATATTCAAGAGCCTATTGCTCTTGTCAGCATTTTAACTCCAAATGGAAAAACTTAGGACAGCTACAAACATTCTAGTTAGACTGCACAAGGGAACACTGAGTTCTTTTGAACCTGGAGTTACTTTAGTTCAAACTTTTTACCTATTTCTGCTGGAAGAGATGCATCCAGACACCTGTTCTGATGCAGTCCTAGATGTTTACAAGCATATGTACAGGGTCCTATTACCTGATTTGACAGGAACTGTGGGAAGTTTTGTTTGTGCTTTGTTTCAAGTATCTTCCTAGAATATTCCCTCAAAAGTGCACTTCTTGCTTTCTCTTTGGGCTTTTTTATCAGTTTTAACTCTCAGTGTTTCCTGGACTTTCCTGGTGTTTTCAGAACCTCTTGGTGTGTAATACATGGCTCTACCAGATGTTATCCAGAGCAGAGCTTTCCTTCTGTCCACATCTGGATCACCCTGAAAGGCTATTTCAAGTCCCCAAATGACAAACAAATTGTAGCTACTGATAGCAAAAATACCAGCTGCCAGTAATTTCTTCCGGAGCATTTTACACTTAAAGGTTTCAGTTCTGTTCCCTGCACAGGTTAATGTGACAGCTGTCAGAATGACTGGTGCTTCTCTATGTTTTAGAAGTCTTTGGCCCAACTGCAATTGTTGGCTGGAATTTCTATCTCACAATGAACTATTTGCTAGTTTATGTGTGTCATGAATTTATTCAAGACTTAAGTAGCTTTTATTGTCTGAGTGAGAAAAGATGTAACTCCCGACATTTCTAATTCTTGTTTAGCTTCTCCTAATGACAGAGGTGGTTCTAAAAAATTCTGTCTAGGTGGATTAAGGAGTACCTGTGGAATTTGCCAAAGCAGAAACATTTCTCTGCTAAAGACAGTATCACTGTCTAATCAAGCTACAGATGCATCTGCATATCAAGTTACAAATGTTTGTGTTATTTCAGGTTATAGCAGAGCAAGTTACAGAAGGGAACTTACAGGAAGGTCGCCTCTACCCTCCATTAGTCACTATTCAGGATGTGTCACTGAAAATTGCTGTGAGGGTAAGTAATTTCAGCATTTTGTGGCTTTTTGTCTTCCCACCAGCTCTACATGGTTTGATTTTATCACCTAACACACCTTCACACAAGTTGGTTTACGTGAATCCATATTGGGCATGCAGCAGTTTCAAAATTAAATTTTAAATTCAGAAATATAAAGGCAATCCAAATACAAGGAGAGCTGTGGATCTACACCAAGCATGTATGTCTGCAGAGCACAGATTCTGCTGTTCACCACAGTTATGCCAGCTGCACAGCTGAAGGGCTTGTGCCCCTTCATGGTTATCAGTTTCAACTTTTTGTTTGTCCTCTGTGACTTTTTTTCTTAAAATTATTCTTTTCTCTCTTTGTCACCTTACTGTGAATAATTCCTCTTCATATGCTTTTGAAAGAATAACAAGGAACCCTCATACATGAAACAGTTTCCACAGCTTCTCTCTTCTGTGTATTTAAGAAAAGGAAAAATCCTTCTCAAAGTTCATGTCTTCTTAGGCAAGTAGTAACTCTGCTCTGTAGATGTGAAAATGTTACATAAATTCCTCAGGCAAAATCAAACTGGCTCTTGGGTTGGCAGAAACACAGTGATAGAAATTCCTCCTCTGTTTGTGCGTGTTATAGAATATACAAAAGAAGGAAAATGTTACCAAATGATTCCTTCTGCTTGTTCTCTGTTGAAACTTTATTCCTGAAAATACTTATTCTGGCTCATACAACCCAACCCAAGAGGCCTGTGCCTTTTCCAGGAGAGGAACACTATCAAAATATTTTGGAATACCAAGCATTGAATATGAATTCAGACCCTATTCAACCACAATAATTACGTGCACAGACCTGAAGATATGCTTATATAAACACCCAAAGTGCTTCTCAGTCAAATTGAGTTGGGATTCAGATTAATCCTAGAAAAGAAGTCTTAATAAAGCAATTTGGGGTCTCAGCTTCTCACCAAACTAGAACATTTATGTTTCAAATCTAAGTAAAGCAGGAAGAAGAACGTCTCCCTTTTATTCAGAGGAGGAGCATTAGAGTGTTTGCCAAATAGTTTCAAGCAGATCTTTTCACAGTGCTGCATAAAACCTGTCTGCCAGACTTCCTTTGTTTCACAGATGAATGTTCAGTCTGAAGATACTTGTTTCTCAAGTAGGTGATCTTCAGGTGTGAGAGGCTACTTTGATGTGTTGAGAGAGCTCCAACCCCTTCTAAACTTAATTTTTGTGCAGCTGTATTTGTGATGCATAATTGATTCACTTAGGTATGGTCTGGGTGAGAAAAGAGCAAGCAAATATTTGTATTTCCCCCAGCCATTCTGTGCACTGCATAGGACTATTTTTTTCCCATGTATTTACTTTTTTTGAAGTATATTATCAAGCTATGGCAAATACTAAACTTCTCTAATATGCAAGGAGCATGGAAGCTTTGAACAAATCATACTTTTCTTACAGCGCTTTGGGAAGATTGTAAACCAGGACAAAGTGATGAGAGAAAAGCAGAAATTGTATCTCAGTGCTTGGGGCTTGTGGAATATTTTATCCACCACTGCACAATGAAAGCTAAGACAGTGCAGAGAGGAGCACTGTATTTGTAACAGTCTGAACACATAATCCTGTTCAAAAGTAGCCCAAGTCAGACCCACTTAAACACAAACATCGTCCTGTTGTAGTCTAATTCACAGGGAACTTACCTGAGCCAGTGTGAACACAGGTGACTGCCAGCACCAGAGAGGGCCAAATCTCATCTTGATTTTGAACTAAGTCCTACTTTTAAGTTCTGTTAAGTGTACTCAGATAGTTTATGAGCACTAATTGGGATTTTAATGCCTCTTTCCAGCTTGCAGAAGAAGCCTACAGGAAAAACACTGCCTCCACCTACCCTCAGCCCAAGGACCTCGAGGCCTTCATCCGCTCTCAGGTGTACAGCACTGACTACAACAGCTTTGTGGCTGACTCCTACACCTGGCCTGAAGAGGCCATGAAAGTCAAACTGTAAATATTTAATGAAGAACAAACAAATCAGCTGCACTTAAAAAGCATTAAAATATTAAAGTTGTTTCTGCCTAGAAAGCCTAAGAATTGCTAATTTTTTAAGATGCAGAAAACTTTTTCTAATTCATAGTAGTTGGTTAGAAACTCAGATCAAGACATCCTCAATTATACATCAGAAAATAAAAATTAATCTGAGAGATATATTTGTTTTTGGTTATTTTGATGGTTATTTTAATTGAGATATCCTACACTACAGTTTGACAGATTTCTTTGAAAAAAATAGTTACATCTTGAGTCAACAGTTTTGTCACAAACATCAATAGGTACTGAAGCAGATAAATGGGCAATTAAAAATACATTTGGTATTTTATCCATTACAGTCACAGTAATTTGCATAATTTGTGAACCTATTATTAAAAAATAAAAAAACAACAAAACAAACAACAACAAAACTTTAAACAACCATAAGGTTAGAATTTTTTATTCCAGAGAAAATACTTACTGATCACTCTTGTGTGGAGTTATGAAAATTTTCTAGAAGAACCAAATCTGCAGAACCTTTTGTTCACATCTAATCAGAACATTTTACCATTGCTAAGAATAACATTTAACAATACTAACATTTAATGTTAGCTAAGGTAATGTCCTGTATATGATGGAGGATTTAATTCCCCCACCAAGATAACCACTGTTCTGATCATTGCAAATGTTTGGCCTAATTTTTTGAACTCCACATTCTTGACAAAAAGGGAGTATCAAAATGCCAGGAATAGACTTTGAGGAATTATTAGTTGTTAAACAATTACCACTCCAAGAAAAATGTACTATATTTTCTGGATGGTTCTGGGGGAAAAAAGGATACTTGAACATTTCTGTTTCTCTCTAATCTTTACAAGAGAGATTATCTCTAGAAAACCAAATACTAATTTTATTTGTCTAGCCCCTCAGCTCTGTCACAGCTGCAGATTACAGGTCCCAAATTCAGAAAGAGAGGCACTTTCTCCCTCACTGCCTAATGGGAATGTGTCAACATTTTTGCCTCACTGTGCTTTTGGCAGAAGTTATGATCACACAAACAGTACAACCTACCACAGTGAAGGAAAAGACATTAATCATATTCTGAGCAACCAGAAATACTCTGCATTTCAATGCCACCCTCAGCATTTCAATGTGTTGCTATTGTGAGAAGGGTATTAAAACACTTCCTTGTATTTAATTTGAAATAAAATAATATCTGTTATTTATGTTTACATCAGCTAAGTGTGCTGAAACACAGTCTTTAAACAGCTGCTGCTGAGTGCCTGGGTGTTGGAGTCGTGCAGCTCAGCAGTGAGTCTGCTTTTATTGCTTGGTACCCCTTTGCACATGGAGGCACTCAGGCACGGAGTGGGAGGTGGTGGGCTGGTGGCCCTGACAGGGGACTTTTCAGTAGTGTTCTTCAACTACATATCATATTTATATATATAATTACATGCATTACAAATGGGACACTCACCCTCCACATCCACACTCAGCACTCTTCCCTCCAGGAAAACACTGCCTAATGAGCCATTAACAGCATTGCCTCTTACAAGCTGCTGGAAAATTCTCTCCATACTAATTTTACATAAGAAAGGATTCTTCAAGTTATTTGTATTTTTATGTAATATTAAATATATATATATATTTTTTACACATATAGGGGCTTTTTCCTATTTTCTGTGTTTTACATTTATTTCCTTACGTAATGTAAGGGGGAAAACTAAACTTTGTCTCATCTGACCCATTTTCATTTCCAAGGTGTTTGGCCTAACAGTGTAAACATAAAATGCCAGGAATTGAACAGATGAAAAATTGTTATTAACATAACCAGACAGACATTTTGCCTCATGACCTCCTTAACTGAAGAGACCTGGATTTGATGCATGAACCAGTCGGTGGGTAAGGATGGTTGGTTGCAGAGTTGCAGTCAATGGATGATGTCCAAGTGGAGACCAGTAGGACTGGCATTCCTCAGGGGCTAGCATTAACATTGCTGTCAGTGACAGGGACAGTAACAGTAACTTACAGGACAGTAAGTGGGACCAGCTGCACCCCCAGCAGGTTTGCTGATGGCACCAAGCCACCAGAAGCAGTCAGCACACTGGAGGGAAGGGGATGACATCCAGAGGGACCTGGGAGGTGAGTCTGTGTACAAGGCTGAGTGCAAGATCCTGTCCCTGGGTCAGGGTGATTCCAAGCACAAACACAGACCGGGTGGAGAATGGATTGAGAGCAGCCCTGAGGAGGGGGACTTGGTACTGGTAAACACAAAACCCAACATGAGCCAGTGATGTGCACTTGAAGCCAAGGAAGCCAACTGAATCCTAGGCAGCATCAAAAGCAGCGTGACCAGCAGCTGAGGGAAGCGATTCTCACCCTCCATTCCCCTTTTGTGAGACCCCAAACAGATCATTGCATCCAGCTCTGGGACATGAACGTAAAAGGAACACAGACCTGCTGGAGCCAGTCCAGAGGAGGATGGACACAAAAAATGATCGGAGGCTGGAGCATCTCTCTCCTATGACAACTGGCAGAGAGAATTGGGATTGTTCAGCCAGGAGAACAGAAGGCTTTGGCAAGACATTATAACACCTTCTAGTACCTGAAGGGAGCCTACAAAAAAGAGAAAGGGACTTTTTTACAAGTGCACGTAATGACAAGACAGGGGAGAATGTTTTAAACTGAAAGAGAGCGGGCTCAGATGAGATGGGAAGAAATTCACACAGCACAGTACAGATGAGCAGACAGAAGTGTATAATTCCTAACTCATGGTGGAATATTTATCAGGCATGGCTCACAGAGACAAATGCCAGTTTTAGAGTCTTAGAAAATCAGTGAACACGTCTCAAAAATATGTAGCAGTTGAGCACAAAAGCTGAGATTAACTACTTGAACCATTCATCTCAGATGTTAGAAGTTTCCTTTTTCACAGTAGCTGTAAGGCAAAATATTTCAGTGTTAGCAACACCTCTTGCTCTCCAGAATTAGAACTCTTCATAAACAGTTTCTCTCAATTGTCTGAGAGTTTGCCTTCAACACCAAATAAAATCTGAAAAATGTGTCCACTTTGATGCTGTTTCAGGAATTCTAGAAACTGGCCAAGATCCATGTGATAGTCATTCCTCAGGCCATAATCACCATGTGCCTGAAACTGCAGGTCTTCAAAACTGTGAAAGAGACGAAGATTATCAATGCTTCCCTCCGTTTCTATATTCTCCACATGCTTGCATGAAATGTGCTTCCAGTTGGGATACCTAATAACACGCCAGAACTCTTCACAGTTTTCCTGGAGTCCCTCCACACAGATGACACCAGGTTTGCCAGTCAGGCAGAAGCCAGTCAGATTTAACTTCTTTGCACAGTCAAAAATCTTTTTCCTCAGTTCCTGCCTGTATATGTGATGGCTGTAGATCCACATGCGATACAGCATTTCCTTAGCCCTGACTGCTTCAGCAGCACGCTCAGACGAGGCCTGACAGTTTTCCAAGAAGGGCAGGGTGTTGTCCTTCACCCACTGCACAGCCTCACACACACACAGATCTCCTGGATCCAGAGAGCTGATGTGAGCCGTGAGACGAGTATTGAGCTGCAACTGCTGCTGTCTGTGCAGAGCATCTGATCTGGCAAAAAGCTGAGGAGCCACCTGAGGGTACATATGAGGAAGGAGAACCTGCAACTCCACCTTTACCTTAAAAACAGAAGACACACACAGAGAAAAGATTAATTCTGCAGCTACTGAAGACACACTAGATTCTTCTTCCCTGACAGAGGCAGATTATGAGTAGATGTAATCAAGATTGCAGCACCCTACTGACTGGAACTATTCCCACTTCCCTTTTGTCCCAATAACCCATTCTTTTGTCTGTTCCTTTTCTTGTGTTGCACCATGCTGTAACTTTCACAACACTTCCCATGACATCCAGGCAGCTTTTGTGCTGTTCACAGAACTAATGCTGTGGCTTGGGAGAAGGTACACAGTTACCCTCCAGGGATATTTCTAGCTCAGTGTTGTTACAGCAATGAACTGTTGGAGTCAAGGACTTTTGTGAATCTCATCCCTTACCAAATACAATGATTATTCAACTCAGCCCAGCTGTTGGAAAAAAAAGCCAAGAGTTACATGGAATGGTGTTTGTGATTGTACCTACTGCATATAGAGACAAGCGGCAGGAGTGTTGGAAATACCTTGCCCTTTAAGGTTGCTCCCAACCCAAACCATTCTGTGATTCTGTGTGTTACCATTATTTTAAGGAAGTATTCACCATAAAAAGGAGTCAGGATTATAGGGGATGAAAAGATTTATGTACATTTCAGGTCAGGGAGACCTCAAGTTTATCTTATCTGATCTCCTATGAACACTGGGCTGTTGAATTTCTCTTGATTATCCCTACAGTGCCTTCAAACAGAGCACCACAGTTCTTTGGCAGCTGAACTCTGCCTCTAGTCCAAGGGCAGGAAGGATTTATGTGTCCTCAGTGCTTCTAGCTCCTGTACACTGTTAGGAGGTGCTCACTACAGTGCACAATCATATGATAGTCCTGTAGAGAGCAGTGAATCATGAAATGACTAATTATCTTTCCAAGTTCCTTGACAATCTGCTATGGAAAAAAACCCCACTACTCCTACACAAGCCCTCCCTACATGGTTCATAAAACTTCTCTTTGTAGTTTGGTGAAAGGGTGCATTTTAGAAAGATACCTCAGTTTGTACCTAAAGTTTAAAAAAAATCATGAGGCCATCTCATTACCCAGTAAATTGTTCTAATGTTTGATTACCTTCATTCCATGGAAAATGGCTTTCAGGCTGAGTTTGTCTGTTCTCAGTTTCTAGTCATTAGAAATTGAGAACAGACAATTAGTATGCACTCAGACCTGTGTTCTCTGTGCAGGTATTTACACCAATTAGTTCAATCCCTTTCCTCAATCAGTTGAACTGTTGTAAGTCCTTAAACTGAGAGTTGGGGTTCTCTGCTCATAGGCTGGTTTTGTTTTTGTGTTCTTGTGACTCCTCATAATTGCAGTCCACCATTTGGGGCTATTTTTACAATATTATATTTCCAACACAGATGTTAGCAGCAGCTGAGATTTTCTATCACTCTGGACTTCTCAAAGAGCAAAAAAATGTGGTGGTTTTTTAGACCCCTTTTTTCCGGGCAGCCTTTTCCGGTGTGTGCAGAAGGA